CCTGGGGAGTGGCTGGGGGCCCAGAGGGCACAGGAGGCCGCGAGCCGTCCCCTTCTGTAGTGGGGTGGGGTGGGGGCTGTCCAGGACACAGAAGGCTCGGCTGTCAGGGCGACCCCCCCCAGCTCCTTCCCGGCCAAGTGCTCAGTCGTCCTTCCGCCGCTGATGACCAGTTTCAGAGATTAGTGCCCAGCGATGGGCTGCAGTTGCCAAGATGTGACGTGGCTCGGGGAAGACGCCCCTTCCCCGCCGGGCCTGAGCGTCTGTTGGGCGCCTGGAGACGCCACGTTTCGGGGTTTATGCTGTCCTCGGTTCGCCCAGTCCCCCCAGCGGCACCGGCCTGGGGTGCAGAAAGGCAGGCCCTGTGCCAGACCTGCTGAACCAGCAGCAGCACCCAACAGGCTCTTCCCCACCCAGCAATGCGATGATGTCATCACCTGCCCCTCCGCTGTCAGGGGACCCGTGGGCTGCAACACCCTACTCAAGTCACAGCCCAGACGAGACCTCGGGAGAAGCCAGCAGAGACGGGGCCTCAGTGCCTCCCTGAAAGAAGAGTCGGATGAGGAGCATATCCTTTGGACCTGGGACCCCTGAGCTGAGAACCTCCTAGACCCAGGAGACACATGCAGAGAGCCTTCCCAGGGGAGGTGTGTGTGTGCGTCTGTGTATATGTCTGTGTGTGAGCGTGTGCGTATGTGTATGTGTGTGTGACTGTGTGTATGTATATGTGTGTGTATGTGTGCGATATGTGTGTATGTCTCTGTGCATCTCTGAGTTGTGTACGTGTGTGCATGTATGTCTCTGTGTGTCTGTGTGTGTGCATGTGTGTCTGTGTGTGTGCGTGTGTGCATGGATCAAGGAGGCTCGCCTTTCCGGCGTCGTAGCGAGAGGGCCCAAAGACCCTGCACTCAGGTACCTGCTGCTGCCCAGCCTGCTGTCTCAAAGCTCGTCCGCTTTACAGATGTATTTTTAATTCTTGTAAAATGAGATTTAAACACACACCATTCTGATTCCGACTCATGGCGAGCCTGTCTGTACTGGGTCCCCGAGGTAGGCAGTCTCCTCTTCCTCGTAAAGGGTAGCTGGTGGGCTTGAACGGCTGACCTGAGGACGAGCCCTGACCCCGCAGCTCTGCCTGAGGAGTGACCTGCATGCATGGGGATGTTCCTCATGCTGGGGGCCCAGAAACCCTGCAGGATGGACAGAACTGCCCGGTGTGACTGCAGGAGCAGACAGCCTCCTCTTTCTCCCACGGAGCAGCTGGTGGTTTTGAACGGCCGACCCTGTGGTGAGAGCCAAGCAGGTACTCACTGCGCCAGCACCCATTTATCCGCTCATCCCAAAGTGTCCCCATGGCATGAAGCAGTCTAAGGGAAGAAGGACGTAGGACCCTCTGTTTGGGTCCGAGTCTGTGGACCCCGGGTGCATGGGGGTCCCAGGTTGGACTCCCCCGTGGCAGTGCCAGAGCGCCAGCCCCCACCACGCATGCTGAGCTCCGTCCTCGCCAGCTGGGCCTCTGTCTTGTCTGCAGTTCCACCAGCTGTCTCCTGACCTTCCTACTTCCAGATAAGCTGGGAGGGACACGGTCCAGCCGGTCCCCAGAGCTGGTCCTCCTGAGGCAGCCCTCCTACCCGGCAGGTCTGTCGCTGCAGCCAGGGCCCAGAGTCTGGGTGTGCAGAGGGCTGTGCTGGGCGCGGAGGCTCGCTCTGCCCCAGTCAGGCTTGGGAAGCTCAGGTCTCTGTCTCAGGCTCCACATCTGGAAAATGGGTTGACAGGAGGGTCCTCCAACCTGTGAGTGCTTGGGGTGCTCTGAGGATTTGGAGGCACCCACACCTGGGACCCTTTTATGCCCAGCCCAGGTCATTGACACCTACGGCCTCACCCCCACCCCAGGGGGACTGGGTCTGTGGCCTCGTTAATGTGACACTATAATTAGCTTAATTACCAACAACCTCCAGGCCTGCCTTTCTGCCTACCTTTTTTTTCCTTTCCAAACTTAAAATGGAAATTAATTTTGCTCCAGGTTTACAGGCTGTTAACGGAATTCACTAATCAAACCCCAACACCAAGTCCTGGAAAATGAGAATTAAAAAGGTCTATATTTGCATATTCATGTTTTTAATAGGGTTCAGAAGGTATATTTGCAACTGATGAAAAGGATTAATTAAATCTAATTTGCATCGATTGATGCATCTTAACTCCTTCGCACCTGCTAGCGAGGAGTGGATGCCCCTCGGCTGGACAGCCCAAGGCAGGTGCCCGAGGTCGTGACCCTGAGGGCCGGCGTCTGGGTGTCCGTCGTATGCCTGCAATGTAGCCTGCTCCTTCACCCACCGTGGGGCAGGGGCGGGGGTGGGGGCACCCACCACAGCCGCCCCGGCACTGCGGGTATCGGTTGGGGATTTCTGCTTTGAGCAGAGAGCAGACACACGGTGGGTGTCCTTACAAGGCCTGTCCCTGTCCCTGTGGACTCCCTGGGATGATCAGAGACGCCCCTGTCCCACCACCCAAGGGTGGGTGTGGGTGGTCTCTTCAGGTTCTCCCCATGCGTGCGGTCACGGTCACGCTGCCCGTGCGCATGGGTGTCTGCGTGCACAGCCTTGTGTGTCTGTGTGTGTTCATGTGAGTGCATGTGAGCCTGCGTGGATGAGCGTGTCTCTGTCTGTGTGTATGTGTGCTCGAATGTATGTCTTGTCTGTGTGTCTGAACGCGTGTA